AGATTCCAAAAACTTTAAGACTGGGAGGAAGTAGTTCACTGGAGGTGGGTCCTTGGGATTGTCGTCCCTGGTCACTTCTATCTCCCTTTCTCTGCTTCCTGGCATCATGACGTGAGCTGCTCTGCATCACTATGGCCTCTTTGTCATTATGAATTGACAGCTCTGAAACTGTGAGGCAAAATCTCCTCCTTCAAGTTGCTTTTCTTGGGTGTATTCGGTCACAGTGATGCAAAAGCCTGACGGACACAGAAGATAATGAGGTTTAGAGGTCATGAGGATCAAGACCCATGCTGGGATTAGTCTTCTTGTAAAAAGAAGAAGAGCGGCCAGAGTATTCCCTTTCTACTGTCGCGAGAGAACATAGCAAGAAGGTGGCCACTTAGAAGCCGGGAAGAGGAGCCTCATCAGGAACCAAATCTGCTGGCACCTTAAGCTTGTATTTCTCAACTTCTATTACTGTGACAAATACATGCTCACTGTTTAAACCACCCAGTCTGTGAAGTTTTGTTATAATAGCCAATGCAGACCTACCACACACCCATACGTATTAACTGAGGGAAAAAATGATCCATAACTTATAATGGATGATCCCATTTATAATATTTTGACTTTATGGTGGTGCCAAAGCTATATGCCGTCAGTAGAAACTGCACTTTGAACTTTGACTTTTGATCTTTTCCCAGGCTAGTGATGTGACACTTTCTTGTGATACTGGGCAATGGTAGTGAACTGTAGCTCCCAGTCTGCCACGCGATCACGAGGGGAAAGAACCAATATCTAGCGTGCTGTGCAACTAAGCTCAGCTGTTTGGTAGGTTAGGTGAAATAAGGGCATTTTTGACTTACAATATTTTCATCTTGCCATGAATTTATTGGACGGAACCTCACTATAAGTCAATGAGCACCTGTATGCCAAAACAGGAGTTGCCTGTAGGTACATTACATGGAATTATATGAATTTTCCACCAAATATGTTAAACACAGAAGAATAAAAAGGGAATATTAATGGTATTAGGAAAAAATAGTTAATATTTGCCCTATCTCACTATGGGCCAGTCACTGTTAGTTGTTGACATGTTTCATTTTATCTAGTCCCCATTCCATCCCATGTTTAAGTTCCATGGTATCACTGCAGATAAGGAAAGGAAGACTTGGGGAATTTAGGTAACTTGCCCAGGTTACTCTGCTAGTAAGGAGCACCTCGTATACTTATGGTAGAAATACACTTAAGAAGCAATAGGGAGCAGGATGAAATTGGAATGGGGTTTAGGAAGAGTGTTTTATTTGAAGCCATGGGCAACTACATGTAACAGATAATGAGGAAGTTAGACCTAGATCAATCCTTATGCCTACTCTACTTCATGAGATTGCTGTAGAAATAATATATCATGCATTTGGAAGTACGTGAAAATTATTGAGCACAGTACTGATGAAGCCTGGGTATTCAAAACCTTGTTAAGACACAATGTGCTGAGTTTCAAGTTCTACCATCAAGTCTTTCTTGAATTAGAAACATGTGTCCAGAGGGGAGAACTGATTGACTAAACTTTAGTGCCTCCACACAATGGAATACTATGCAACAGTTAAAGGATCAGACAATAGTCATATTGTTGACTGCTCTGTGTCCATGTATGGTAATCCTGAGTAATTAAATGAATAATTATGCTGTTATCCACAGTGTCCTTGAGAACTAGATTCTCAGCATAGAAAAAGCAGGCACTGATTTAAGAAAGAAGAGGTCAAATAAACACTGCCCCCCCATAGTTCTGAATTTGGATTGAAAGTATCAGTAGGAACTCATGAAGTATCTTTATTACAAACAACAATATGTTTCTTAGCTCCATCTATTGAAAAGGCCTAGAAGCAAGGAACAATCCAGGAACAATGAATACACCTAAGTGGCCTCTAAAAACCATTTCCCACTAAGAGGAATCAGAAGTGCTTAGAGAGATGGCTTCTTCCAGGTCTGGCAGACAGCCTGGAACATCTTCATTTCCTTGCTATTTGGACAACATCAAAGACTAATAAGGTCATGTCAGAAGGCTCCCACTAGTCAGAGATGGCACGATCCAAGCATCAAAAAAAACAATACAAAAAATAACTGGATATAGTAGTACATGCCTGTAAACTCAGCTATTCTGGAGGTGGAGACAGGAGGATTGCAGTTTGATGGGACAAAGGTTAGTGAGACTCCATCTCAAAAACAAGCTGGGCATGGGGGTGTGCACATCTGTAATCCAGCTATGCTGGAAGTATCATGGCTTGAGGTAGAAGGATCACAGTTTGAGGCCAGTTCAGGCAAAAATATGGGACCCTATTTAAAAGCAAAAGGACTGGGAGTGTGGCTCAAGTGGTAAAGTGCTTGCCTAGCAAGTGAGAAAGCCTGGAGTTCAATTCCTAGTACTGCAAAACAAAACAACAAACAAACAAAAACCCCATACAAAATAGATTAAAACACAGATCTGCCTGTGTTTCTGCCTGATGGATTCTTTCCTTTTATTTGCTAGTTTTCAACATGATTTCCTATCACTTCCTCTGGTAACCAATTCATTTTTTGTTTTGTTTTTAATATCAGGAAAGAATCAATCACCTATCCACCTTGCTTACATAAACTGTGCTACTACTTAATCAAACAGTAGTTGAGAGAATTTCTCTTTATGGAAGTACTCCAGCTAATAAATGAAGAAAGAATGATAACATGAGAACATTAGCATTTTGTGACCCTAACTAATAGATCTAATCAATAAACACCAATAGTTGCTAAAATCACAAAAAGAGTCAGAGGTTGTGTGCCCTCTGACAAGAGAGTATAACACAATCCATGAAGTAGTTTTGTCCACAAAAATCAAACCTAAATCTGATTAAATATCTAAGTCAAGCAACCAATTTATAAGAAATATAGATGATAAGAGGTCATGTGAAACAGCACCAGAGGGATGCAATCAGAAAAGCCCAGACTGAAAATGTTTCCAGAACAAAGCATCTAATTCCTTCATCAGCTACATTGCATGGAGACGAGGCAGGACAGAACTAAAGGGAAGTTTCATTTAAAAGATACCAAAATGTCAATCTACTGCAACTTGTGCACCTTATTTGGATTCTGATTTTAAATAATGATTTTTTTTTCAAAAGGGCATTTATAAGTTTAAACACTTGCCTGACATTTGGTGATAGGAAGAGATTATTGCTAATTTGTTAAATTGTGATGATGGTATTGTGGTAATGCTAAAACAAAAGGGCCAGTCTCTTATAATCCAGGTTTAAAAAAAAAAAGGAAGTAGAGACACAGATAAAAGGAGATGGTTGAGGTTGGGTAAGGGCTCTTTAAGGTTTGTGGTTCTGCTCTTTCCACTTTTCCATATAGTTTAAGGTTTCCATAATAAAAGATTCAAATAAATCCTTCTTGATGTCGTGCTTAGAGCAGTAATTTGCTAGGTACATCATGGTTCTGACCAGCATCCCTGAGGTTTCATGAATGATGAAGTGAGTTTCATGTTTCAGACTATCCATGGAGGGAACCCCATGGAGCTTCCCCAGCACCTTCTTCACAGGGCTACGTCGATATGGCACTTGGGAGCATATACACAATCATATACAAAAAAAAAAAAGGGAAAAAAAAGAGTTCTTGTGACTCAGATATTTTGCTGCACAGCTGCACATGAAGGACCCATGATGTCATAGGGTAAAGATACTGACTGAGTTTTACCGAATCGAATCTGTCTGGCACAGGCATTTGGTGGAGTTCATGATGAGAGAAGAAATAGGTATGGAGTTAGGTTGTTAGGGGTTTCCATTCTGAAGTTCTGAGCAAATGACAAGGGTCACCGGCTGTGTCCTCATTATTTGCATTGGTGCAGCTACACTGAGTTTCCTAGATTAGATACAATGTCTGCATTGGAGCAAACCACCCCAATTCTCTATCCCACAGGTGAAAGAAATGAGGAGGAGTAAGGTCAAGAAAACAGCAAGCTCTTAAGCCCTGTCACTGAGTGTGGGATGGTGGGAGGAGCTAAAAATTAGGGGACAGGAAGTAAGAAACAAGTCTGATGTCTATCTTTAGAAGTGACATCTCTCAGCCCTTGAGATTAAGCCTGCTGTTTAGGGTGCTTCTGTTCCTTTTGCCAGCCCCCCAAGCATCTGTGAGCATCCCAATTGTGCCTGCAGGGCTGGGAACGCCCCCTGTGGGCTTGCTTTAACCCTGTGGATTGAAGACTTCCCCTCCGCCCTTCAGGGCTCTTCTCACACCATTGAAATGGTCCATTTACTTGTTGGTTTCTCACACGAGTCCATAACCAGGGCCTGGATTAGAAAAGTGCCCCCAAAAATATTAACTGTACAGTTGGAGACCCCCGTGGGAGCAGTGCAGAATGGTGATTGTGAGTGTGGACATTACAATTACATACATGTGTGTGACTGTACCCACTTTATCTATATGGTTTTCAGATTCTACTACTGATCTGTTTCAAGACTTCAGATTTTGGAAAACTTTGAGATTATCTAGGAAAAGATAAAGCATATTCAGATGGACCCCAATTATGGTGGTTGGATTTACGAGTTTTTTTTACTTCCCAATGCTGGTTAATTGGTAGACATTGGATCTTTTCCAAGCCTACCAATAGACAATAAGATCTCAGATGCTGGGCAGTGGCAATGGGCTGCAGGTTCCAATCAGCCATGAGCTCAATAGTGCACTGTGAATGGTAAGCTCTGATAGTATATAATTGCATCTTATGATGGGTTTACCAGGCTGGGTTTACCCAATTCATCTTAAGTTGTGGAGCATCATTAGCTATAAATTTCTGTGTCTATGTAATAATGTAACCTACAAAAAACAATCTTGGAATCATTGTGTACGTATCGAATGTTGTCCATTGATAGACTTACAGATAATAAAACCTAAAACTATAACTATTCATAAGACCTTGAACTTGTGTTAATGGGCTGAGTGGTGAAGTGCACAAAGAACATCTTACGACACACCATTCGAGTGGAGAAGCCAACCTGGGCATCTTCAAATGTGTGTCTCCCTCCATCTTTGACATTCTGACTGGTGATCTCATAGCTGTGAGAATCCAGGTTGATTGCACTTGGGGCTCCTGGAGCCAGAAACTCTTGCCAGATTTCTTCCACCCTTCTAGCCACATCCTGGAGGGGTTGTTTCTTTAGATCTTGAACAGCCAGCCAGAACCTGGAGTGGATGCAGAAAAAATAGTCAGTTTTACCTGGACCCTGTGAGGGTGGTCCCAGGGCTGATGTCACATGAGATTTATTCTGTTCCATTCCCCAGCCTGTCCTGATGCCACACATGGTTCACAAAGACCATGGGGACTGCTGAAAACACAAAGCATGTTTCACTACTATGGAGAACAGAAAAGACATACATGCTAGAAGACCAATGAGCTCCTGCTGACCAGTGAGAGGTCACTCTCCCTGTAGAATTTTTTTTTGGTGGATAATTTTTTATTGGGGTAGAGGCTATCCTGTGCATTATAGGATGTTAAGCAGTAACTTTGGCTTCTACCCACTAGATATCAACAGCACTTCCCATGTTTAACAACCGAAAATGTCCTCAAACATTACCAAATGTTCCATGGGAGGCAAAATCACCCCTGGTTGCGAACTACTGCTCTTGTGCACACTTCTGCTCAATGTGAGTCCCTTTGCCAAGTCTGACTGGGATAATTGGAGGTATCAAAATGAAGAAAAGACCACAGAAGCAGGTAGAATTCTGGAATCATAAAGAATATTTGAACTGGAGTGAAGCAGTCATTCATGTTAGAGATGGATAAATCAAGCTGTTCACAACATTAGTGTGAACATGGTGACAGGCATATACTAGGTGCTCAATAAATGCCCTTTAGGTTGAAGATGGGCTTGTCTGGAACAAAGTTGAAGGGACATATGTGGGGAATCTCTCTACCAAAAGATTCTCCAGGGACTGCCAGAGAGAAAAATCTCCTGCTCACTTCTATTTGCCTCTCCATAATCCCCCAACATCTGCACAGGAGCCCTGTGTGAGCTCTTTCCTGCAGAGAGCTGCAGTTCTCAGGTCCTGAGGATGGTTTCCAAGGCAGCCTTTCAGCAGGACCCAGAGCTGGGCAGCACACTCTGTCCCCTGAGAAGGGGACAGGCCAGTTTCCCCAACAATGAGATAAGAGAACAGGTCCCATGCTGTGTGGTTTCCACAGCCACCAGGAATATCACATGTCTAGTCAATGAAAAGCAAGGACAAAAAAAGCTAAACCATGACACCATGGAAAACGCATTCAATCTGCCATCAAATTTCACCCAAAGTAAGATGTACTTTTTTTTTTTTTTTTTTTAAAGGTTAAGCATTTTTCTGTTGCTGTTCAGAGAAATGTCTTTGGAGCCAAGTGCATGGCCCAAAAGCACCACTCAGTGGCACACTGGGGTAATGCAGCCCCATTTCCACAAGGCTTGTTCTCAGAATTTTAGTCTCCAACTCTTCCTGATTTGCCCCTGGGGTTCTAATGATCTCCTTAGAGGGGTATGCCCATGGCTCCCTCACTGACCCAGGAGAGCCAAGAGAAAGGCATTTGACCGGAAGGATAGGGGGCTCAGTTCTGTCCTCGTCCTGGCTGTGCTGCTATCTTGAATTGTACCTTTCTAGGTGCCTCTTGCCTCATCTGTGAAATGGACAGAAAGTAGGTGTAGCGAGATGCGGCACAGGCCTGAAAAATTTCCTATCCAGACTTCATTCAGCAATGCTTTCAGGCCCCAGGGGGTGGGCGCTGAGGAGACTCAGAGTGGCAGCCACAGTCTCAACATAGCTCAGTTTGACCTCCCAAATTTCAACTCACTCTCCTCCTGACCGTTGTTGCCAGGATGCTTGCTAAGGCCATCAGTCATCTTCTGCTTTTCAACCCTACTCTCCCTGCTTTCTGCTGTAGGTCCTGGGTGCCCATGTTCTTCCGGCTACCACAGAGAAAAAAACCCAGTAGCTATGATTCAGTTGGAGTCCAGAGGACTTTGCAGGATGTGCTGGACAGATGGAGACCCCGCCCTCCCTCAGGGGGTTGCCTCTGAGCCAAGGCTCTGGCTGCAAACTACTTTCTTGGTCAGCACCCTTCCCTGCAATTTCCCATCCAAATGCATGACATGTGGGTGACTTTCTTGCGCCTCCATTAATGTCATGTGGGACGTCATCCTCTGTCATCTCTGTCTCTTGCTCCAGTCTGCTCCGAAGAGGAGCTGCGGACCCCTCTGGGGAGGCTTTGAGGTTCCTGAGACTTCAGGGTCCCTTTGCAGAATTATTTGGGAACCACATTAATGCCACCACTCAGCTGGGTATAGAGAGGTTCTGGAGCCAGTGCTAATGCAAATTTCTTTAACAAATGTAAGGTTTACATAAAAATCAAAAGGTCCTCTCTGTCAGAAAAGAACAAGAGTTTTTTTTTAAAGGCACAAGGAGAAACAAACAACAGGCATATCAGTAGATGGGGATGGTGTTGGAGTGACATCCCTGAACAATGTTCTTTCCCTGCAGACACAGGGATGTGGCCCAGCCTTTTGTTTGCCTTGTTCCTCCTAGGTGACAGCAAAAATGCAGTCACAACAGCGTCCTGACATCCTGTATGTGTTTACCATCATGCTGTGACGGTAAGGAGAACCTTCGTGTCAATTAGAAATGCAGAACAGGCTTTGGTGTGTGTTTGTATCTTCCAGCCCACCCCACCCACAAAGAGCCACAAAAGCTTCTCTCAGCACATCCACTGCGGACTGGTGGCTCAGTGGGGCTCCAGAAGCTTCTGCTCTTATCAAAAGCCTCCAGGTGCCACTCCTTTGAGAACGAGGATGCAGTAGGGCATCAAATGCCAGCAGCAGCATCAAATCCATCCATCCTGCACTAAGCTCCCTCTCCTGGCAGGACACAGGGACTCCTGGGTGCCTGAAGACCACCTGTCTGCCAATCCTTAGAGCTAGTGGTTGCTGCCAATCCTTAAGCAGTGGGAGGCAGCCTGTGTGCTGGTGTTTGATCCGTGTTAATGGCTTAGAAATGAATGCAGGCAGGGAAACTGGCCTTAAGCAAGAGCAGCCAGGCTGGGAAAACACTGGAGCAAAGCCGTGGTGGTGGACTGGTGGTCAGAGCTGTCTCGGGTAGCCTCCTTTCTCCCTGGATGCTGACAAAGAATGGGATTTTCTCCTCTAGGCTGGCTGGAGCATGAGGAACCAGGAGCCAATGATCATTTTCCATCCTGCCAGGAGGAAGCTCCCCCAGTTACCAGCTTACCTATCTTTTCACAAACTAGAATTTTCACGGGTTAGAAAATACAGCTTTGGGTTTGTTCCCAGAGAAAAGCGAACTCCGCAGCAGAATGAAGGGTTTCTGCGCCCTCTGCTGGTCACTCAGGAATTCAGGACAATGGATTAAATTTGATTTTCATCTCCGGTTGGGCTGAAATTTTGCAGGTGTCCACATCTGTAACTACCATAAGTCACCGAAGCTGAGCTCTGTTAACTGGGTAGTGGCCAAAGTGGTTCAGATGGGCAGGGTATTGTGGGAGTCACTCGGTTCCCATTCATCATGTGTTTGGTTGGTGGGGTATCCCACAGGGCCCAATGAACCTTCTGGGGTCTTCCTAGGACTTGGGGCAAATGCTGGAGATGGAGCTTTGAAGGCAAACCTGGCAGCCCCCCTGGGCTCTCTTTTAATTGCTTCTCCCTTCAGCTGACACCATGTGGAACTAGGATCATCAATCTGCAGGTTAGAAGAACAACTACATTCTCTCAGGAGACGTTACAGCTCATAAAAAATGTACGTGGAAAGCTCTTTGTGCAGGTTTTGATTTTTAACTCGTGCCCTGCCATGCAGTAGAGGGTTTGAAGCCAGGGAGGACAAAGATTTGTGTTGGGGGAGGAGAGATGGCAAAACACACAAAGCTGGGAGAAGGATGAAGTCATCAATTTAGTGGCACTTCCTGCTTGAGAATTGTGAGGCTCCCACCTGATTGGTGAGGGACTACATCCATTCCCATGGCACCCAGCTGATGGCTGCCTCATGGGTCCACCCAGGAGCTCTGGACTTGGATCAGGGTGATTAGAAACAGAGAGAGGCAGCCCTGCCCCAGATGGTCATAGCAAAATGTGCTACTGGCCTGCCCACACCCTGTCATCTGTAGATGACAGCCGTCACTCATCTCACAGACACACCTAGAAGAAAATGATCAGAGAGAACTTCCCATGATATTATATCATCATATAATTCTTTCATTAAAAGGCCCAGGGGACACTTTGGGTCTCTTTTGCTCCTCATTTTGAAGCTCTGATGTAAATTCAACCTCTTGGCTACCTCACTGGCACCCCATGTGCTGTGCAGCATGTCAAGATGGAAGTATGCCTTCCACTAGAGAGATGCGAGATCTGCCACAGGAAGACAGATGTGGAGAGGCATTTTGCAGTGTGTCTGGTTGGGTTCTGGCCAGTCTCTCCTCTTTACTCTCCTGTTCTGATTCCAGTATCCTGGGCTCTTGACTGGCCCTGGAGGAAAGGGTTGAGCCCAACACTGCAGATGGGCATTTTCCTCAAGTTATGCCATTACACAATTCCACATCGGGCCATGTGGAGGTTCACCTACCCAGCCTACATGGTCCCTCAGATGACGGGGGAAGTGTGGCGAGCTCTGAATCCTGGGACCTGGGTCATGAAAGATCTGCGGCCAAAACGATGAACAGAGAGGGGAGGGAGGCAACTACTTTGTGATGTGTGACAGAGGTCCTGTGGTTGTTAGTTAAAACTGAGCTTTCCTCTCTGTGTCCAGTTATGCTGAATATGATAAAAGTGGAATTTGGCCTCTAGAAAGAATTTTAGAAGTCTTAGGCGATACTTTCTCTCTCTGCTGTTCTATTTTCTTTTCTTTTTTTCCTCTTTCCTGTCGTGGATCAGAGGGGCCCTCTTTAAGTCTGGATTTATGCATGCATGCTGGGGGTCAGCACATTCCCACACAATCCTGCTTTTTCTTTCATCCCAGATTAAATGTGGCTCTCCTGGCACTAGGCAAGGAGCTGGCAAAGGTGCAAGTGGTAATGGCAGGAGGAAGTGTTGAACACATGCCAGGGATGCACTCTTCAGTGTACTTAGGGGCCCTAAGTGTCGTGTGTATTTCCTGAAACTAGTCTGATTTGATATGTGGCCCTGGTCACATTCTGGCTTTCCAGAATGAATGTCCAAGATTGGGCAAGGTGGCAGCTGAGCATGCTGATGCTCCTCAATCATCACAATGACCAAGACCCTCTAGTCATTCTCCAAACTCTCTGTGAAAGTGCAGGTGGCAGAGGGTTTGAAGTCCACTCAGGGGCTGGGAAATAGTTAGGCAAAGGGACCACTGTGCCACTCCATCTTGGGGACCAAAGGGGAATAGGAATGTAGAGGAGGAGAAGGACTCCTAGATGTGGCTCATGGGGACCATGCTGAGGACAGAAACTGGGACTGAACTGGCCACATGGAGAAGCTACCTAGATGCATTAAGCTGGCCACATAGGGGTTTGCTTCCTACATAGCCTGGGAGGCTGACTAAGCACTGATCTAATGGACAGTATTAGAAATCAAGGCTTCTTTTACAAATACTTCATTACAAATCAAAGCAAAGCTCATTATTTTATTATAAAACAAGGCTTCAGCATAAGGAGAGAACTCTTGCATCACAACCTGAAAATAAAATAATCAACCCTGTCTGGTTTGTAATAGGCCCAGGGATGCTTAGAAGGCATCAATACACAGTTAGTTGGCACCTTTGTATTCTCCCAGGACTTCACGTATGGGACAGTCACACTGCCACCTTAAATACTTAATCTTGATTGTCATCTTAATTGTGTTGAGAAGTGCCTAGGAGATCAGTAGAGCATACCTCTGGTGTGTCTATGAGGGTGTTACCAGGGAGAATTAACTAAGGGGAAAGACCCACCCTGAATGCAGGCAGCACCATCCCCTAGTCTGGGAGCCTAGGTGGAATAACAGGGAAAAAAGGAGAGAGCTCACAGTATAGGCAGTCTCTCCCTCTGCTTCCTGGTTGCCATGATGTGACTGAAACCTAGCTACTCAACTCTGCTAAACCTTCTCTGCCACAAAGGACTGAAACCTTTGAAACCGTGAGCAAAATAAGTCCTTCCTTCCTTAAGGTGTTTCTCTCAGGTATTGGTCACAGCAACGAAAAGTTTGACTAACACATACCCCTTAGCTGATTTAGTCTCTCAGCTTAGAATATTCTTCCTGCTTTCTTTGTCTACAGATATCTTGTGTGTTCTTCAAAGTCTATCTTACCACTTGCCTACTCTGGTTTGCATTGATTTCTCCTCCTCCTTTAAATACCTGCAAAATGGTTTTAAAGTTTACACTTATTTATATCCATTTAGTGATTTAATCATTTCTTGTGTTTGTTTCCTGAAGGAGCTACAAGGTTCTTGCAGGCAAAGATCATGCATCCTGACTGCCTTGCATTCTTCAGTAGACCCTAGTGGGGCTTGATATACCACAGATGTGCCGTAATTGCCACCTGGTTGATGTGTGGAACTTCAAATAAATACATGAATTTTGCACATGAACATTGAAGAAGAAAATCTTTTTCTACAGTAGATACTTGGATTTTTTTAAAAGCAAAACATTAAAAATGAATAAAACTCCTTTTTTAGAAAACGGCATTTAAAAATGAAAATTAACCTAGTCTATAAAAGGGGGGGGGAGAGAGAGAGAGAGAGAAAGAAGGGGAGAGAGAGAGAGAGAAAGAAAGAGAGAAAGAGAAAGAGAAAGAGGTTGATTTTCACCTTACCCATGGAGAAGTCACAGTTTGCTAAGATCACTGAGAGGTCTTAGGTAAGCCAGATTTCCATGAGTCACTCTGGTTCTTTATCTAACACAATAAAAGGCTGAATAAACTCCAATTTTCTCAGTTTTTCGTAAGTCGGAACCCTTTTCCTTTTAATGTATCACCTTTTCTTTCTCACATTGCACCCTACTTTTTGGATTTTTTTTCTCTTATTAAATAGTAATCACAAATACATTTTCCCCACAAAGTATTAGTTAGTTATAGACCAAAAGAAACAATTGAATGTTCTCGCTGGCCTCGGATGAGAGTAACCAGCACATGAAGTTAATAGAACTTTCTCCAAAAGGAAAACACATTTTAATGAGCTTGTGTAATTACATCTCTGGTTATGGAGTGATACTGACTTCGGTCCTTTGAAATTCTAGAATGAGCCCATAGACTCCCTTCTCTTCTGTTTAACCTTTTAGGGCCCTCTGAATCTCTGGGACCAGGAAGAGATCCCATGAACTGCCTCTCTACTCTGAAACGCCATGCTTCTGTGGTTTTACTTAATGAATGGTGTTGTCAAATCCATTTGGCTATTTAATTATTATCGAAGACATGTTTCCAGGTGGTTGAGCAAATGTCATCCAGACCTAAAGAACTAAAAAATACTGGTGTTGGTAGTTGCTATCAGGGTGGTAACAAAATTGCATATTCTAATTTGTTCTCTGTTTTCACTTCAGCCAGATTAGCTGTAATGTGAATTTGGGCCCTAGTCATATTTTATGGAAAAAGGGAGGTGGAGAGACTGATTATGTCAATTCCTTCACACACAATCTGCATAGATTTCAAACCTTTGAGAATTTACCTGAGGTTTTCTGAACTGAATTCCGACTCCAGGAATCGAAGGAACTGGTCCCGCCCCACCTGGTCCTTCAAAATCTCGTCAAAAGAGAAGCCCCATCTTTTTACTCGCTGCTGGCTGGGCTCTTTGCTTTGGTATGAGAGAAAAGAGAAAGTTTGAAAAATGAGCAATACCAGGCAAAAGCCTGTGTCACACTCTCTTCAACAATGTAAGTCCATTTTGCTGCTACCTATTGAAGAGAAACATCTCGCACTTTAGTGACATGCCATAAAACTCGCATAAAGTCCAAATGCAGACTTTTGCACACCAACAGTAACCACAGCAAAAAGTTTCTTTAAAAGAGGGGCATGTGAAAGGACAGTGTTTGGTGAGGGTCACCAGGGTGCCAGTCAAGTGGCTGTTGTTGGTAGGAAATTCACTGCCACCGTTAATTGGGCATCTCTGGACCACAGTTGCCAATTATGGGTCCAACTTTTGACACTGCCATTTTTTTTCTCACTTTTACTACAAGCCAGGATGCTTCATGAATACAATCCTTCATCAAAATACTGTCCCCGACCTCCTGCCCCTTCCTCAATCCATGAAGGAGAAATTAGCATCTGTTTAGAGTTGAGCGAAGTCTATCTGATCAGAAATGCATCGGCTCATCCAGAATAAACCATGTTCACCTGATTAGAAGCAGAATGCCACATTTACTTAATGATTTAATCACCAGGTACAATGCTTATGATAGGCTAGAAGTTGTTCTAAGCATTTTACATCTGTTAATGCACTGAGTCCTTACAACTCTTTGTGAGAAAGGTATTAGTGGCACATGTCTGCAATCCCAGCTACTCAGGAGGTAGAGACAGGAGGATCACGGTCTGAGGCTGGCCCTAGGCAAAAACAAAAGACCCTATTTCCCAAAACACTAAAAGCAAAAGCACTGTGGTATGGCTCAAGTGGGTAGGGAGCTTGCCTAAGTGCTTGCCTCAGTATTGTCAAAAATAAAGGTATTAACATTATTCTCATTTTCCAGAGAGGACACTGAGGCCTAGTGATAATTTGCCTCAGGACACATAGCTAGGAAGTGACAGAGTCTAGAGTCAAATCTAGATGTGTGGCTCCAGAGTTCAGCCTTCACTGTCATGCTTTTCAGTTCATTCGTGCTCTGTGATCTCACATGAAAGAAGGGGGCCGGTCTCATTCTTCTGGTACTGAACCAGGAGAACACTCTTTCAGCTTCTATCTTTCCATGTAAAGTCCACTTGCTATATTAATCCCCCTCACCCTTCATGCGGCAACAGGGTTCTAATTCACAAGTTACATGCTAGAATTAGCATGTAAGATCTGTGGACATGCAGAATTTAGGCCCCGCCCAGAACTGCTGAATCAGAACCTGCAGTTTAACAGGCTCCCTAGATGATTTGTGTCCACATTAACACCTGGTAAACACTGATCTCTCAGTAACTATTTTTCCTCTTTTTGGAAGTAGACACATAGTATATCTCTAACAGCAAGTGAATAAAATCATGGTTTCCTCTTATTATGGAGTTGATATAGTTTCAATATTTATGTTAGAAAATTACTCTCAGTAAAAAGGGGAAGAGAACTTGTGTGTTAGAAGGCTTGGAAAAGCAAATATCTCTAGACCAGCGCTGTCCAAGAGAACTTTCTGCAACGGTGGAGTTCTGCATCTGTGCTCTCCAATATGCCAGTACTCACCATTTGGCTGCTGAGTACTTGAAAAGTGGCTAGCATGGCTGATGGACTGAATTTTACATTTAACTTTGAATCATTAAAGCTTGAATTTAACTAGCTACATGTGGATAACCACTGTATTGGATGTATCGTAAGCTATTGAAATCCAACCCTTTCTAAACCGATAGATGTGTAAGTGGCAACAGCCGTGTCTTCTAATTCTAAGATGGTGACTTGGGGATCGGGGAGGCTCTTGCTGTACACCTTTGCATTTCTGGGCACAGCTCAGTAGGATGATGGTGCCAGGCTCTGCCCATCAGGTCAAACAATGGGGAATTTCATGAACGATCTATTCTAAAGGACCAGGCTGAGCCTTTTCCAACAACACATGAAGACAGATACTGGATTCTCTCAAATATAAGCCATAGAACTAATCAAGCCTAATAACTTTCCAGGAGACCAAAATTAATGTTTATGGAGACATTTCACTGGGATTGGGGCTAGCAGCAAATTTAAGCCCCAGAGAGCTTCAGGACATCCTATTTTTCTGCCAGGGTCATGCCCTGACCAGGATAGACACACTAACTTCTCTTTGCCAGCCAAGGATTTAGGGTTCTACACCAATGGTGCTGGTGACAGCTGTACCCCCATCAAAGGTTGTGCCCCGAAAACTGGGCATGGGAAGTGACTCAGTCTTTGTAGTGACTGTCTCATGGACGTGGACATGGACATGATGAGTCTCACTGGACTCAACGCCAATGTCACCACTTTCTGATATCAAGCAGTGAGTCCACATTCAATCCCTCCAGATTCCTTGTGACAGCAGGAGTGGGAAAAGGGAAATTTGGGGTTAGGCCAGAAATCTTAGGATGTCGGAGAGCAAACTGGGTAGAAGTCAGAGATATCTAGAAAGCTGCAATGTTTCAGCAGAAACTAGGGGGTCTCAAGAGAGAAGATAGCCTGGTGTATTAGCTTCTTAGGGTTGTCATAACTCAGTCATAACAAACGGGGTGGCTTAAAACAGCAGAAGTTTATTGTCTCACAATTCTGGGGGCTAGAAATTCAAACTCAAGGTGTTAGCAAGGCCATGCTCTCTCTAAAGGCTTTAGCAAAAAATCTGTTCCATGCCTTTCCCTCAACTTCTGATGTTGCCAGCAATCCTTGGCTTCAGGTGCAGGAATGCCTCACTACCCCTGTTGCACCACGTGTGTCTGTGTCTCTGTTTTCTTTTCTTACAAAGATACCAGTCATATTGGAGTAGGGGCCCACCCTACTCCAGTATGACCTCGTCTTAACTAACTGCATCTACAACTTCCCTGTTTCCATAAAAGGTCAGATTCTGAGGTTCTAGAAAGACACGGACTTGGGGGTGATACTGCTCAGGTATACCTGGGTCCTCCAAACTACCCACTACTCACCATCCTATTCCTACAACTGTATACTCCACATCTGCCCCTCTTTTTTCTAGTATATTTGCCATTGAGATTTTGTTCAGTTAAAAGTTTCTTGGATACAACTTCCATATATATATATAGCTGAGAAAATGTCTAAGTCTTGTGTTAAAGGTGTAGCTTGGCTCCTCTTGGCTACTTATAGTAAATATAACAAGAGATAATGAATTAAAGATAGAATTATTAAGGAACCAAAATCTAAATAAAGTTTTAGAAACATCAATATTGAAAAAAATAAAGGCAAAATGACCTTGCATTAAGATCATTACTTACTGCAACATAAGTAATGTAAGGTCCATTACTATGGATAAACTATCTCAACAAAAGCCAGAAGCTATTCTTCAAGATAATGGAAATCTTACCCTGAAGGGAACTCAGTGGTCACCAGAGCTGCCACTCTTACCACAGGCCCAGAGTGTCATGATCATGGGGAGTTGGGGACAGTACAGTCACCTCTCCAGTTCAGATAGGCCAGGATGTCCTTGCCAAGGGCCTCTAAGGTGGGGTCCTTGAAGAGAGCTGCAGTGTGGGCTGTACCCATCAGGGTCATGTGTATTAGGCTGTCTGAAAGAGCTGCAGCATGGTGCCCCAACCTGGGAAAATGTGAGGCCTCAGCAGAGAGCTGCTGCTGTGGAAATCTCACTGAGCTGTGAGGGGATGTTGATACCAAAGAGGACCTGGAAGGCAGAGCATCAGCCCAAGAAAACCATGCACACACAACTCCAGCCCAAAATGCTGTGGAGGTGGGACAATGGCCTTATTGACTCTAGAAGGCAGAGCATCAAGCCAAAGAGGTTATTCTTTAAAAAAATTTTTTATTAGGATATATTAGTTGTACAGGGGGGATTCATTGTGACAATTCCAAACACGATTACATTGTACATTGGTTAGATCTCCTTTACCATCCCTTCTCCTTGACCCGCTCTCTGCTCCACTTAAAGCAATTGCAAGAGGTTTCATTGTTCTATTTCGTATATGAAGTCCATCAATTATATTCTCTCATCTTAATCTCCTTCATTCACCCTCCCCCCTCGCATAAGTACTCCCCCACTGTACCTATTTTATAGTCCTGTCTTTCATAATTAATTTACAAGTCAATGTTCAAAGAGGTTTCTTGATGTATCCCTGCTGTGATATACTTTACCATGGTCTGTTCAACCCCTTACATTACTCTCCCTTACCCCTTCCCTTCCATCCCCCACTTTTCAACAGCTTTCAATACATATTGTTATATCTCAAAGAGGATTATTCTTAAGTGCTAAGGTTTTAATATTGCTTGCTGTATTATACTTGAACTTTCTTGGGACCCATTGCCCCTTTCTTCTTTCCTATTTCTCTTCTATTGGAATGGAAAAGTCTATCCTATATACCTCTTCCACCATTGTAGTTTGGAAACACTTGTTAGTTTCACAAGGGGAATTTGCCTCAGGATCAATTTTATCTTGAGTTTTACCTTCAACTGATTTAGATGATAATTAGATGGGACTATGGACTTTAGACTTCAGAGTTGATGCTAGAACAAGACTTTTGGGGCTTTGGGGATGGAATAAATTTATTTTGTATGCTAGAATTCATAAATTTGGGGGAGGGTGAGGAGTGGAATTTTTTTTTTTTTCATTTTTCTTTTATTATTCATATGTGCATACAAGGCTTGGTTTATTTCTCCCCCCTGCCCCCACCCCCTCCCTTACCACCCACTCCACCCCCTCCCGCTCCCCCCTCAATACCCAGCAGAAACTATTTTGCCCTTATCTCTAATTTTGTTGTAGAGAGAGTATAAGCAATAATAGGAAGGAACAAGGGGTTTTGCTGGTTGAGATAAGGATAGCTATACAGGGCATTGACTCACATTGATTTCCTGTGCGTGGGTGTTACCTTCTAGGTTAATTCTTTTTAATCTAACCTTTTCTCTAGTTCCTGGTCTCCTTTTCCTATTGGCCTCAGTTGCTTTAAGGTATCTGCTTTAGTTTCTCTGCATTAAGGGCAACAAATGCTAGC